CACTCGGAGCAGGGCCTAAGTAAGAAGAAACAGGCATCAGTTTCCAAAAAAAAAAGAAAACAGGCGTCCAGAAATTCAAATACTCAAAAATATGCTAAGTATACCTCAGCAAGGACCCCTGCAATCCCTTCTAGGTCAAGGGTGCCTACACCCCTGACCGCCTCCCTTTCAGCTGGAGGAACTGCCCTGATCATAGACTTGGCCATCTCTACCAAGTCAGGCTCCTGAGGGCCGGCTGCATCAAGTATAAACAAACGGATTAGACCTAGTAAAAAGGGAGCGAGTCTAAAATTTACAAGTACAACTTCATACTTCTAGGCGGCCCAGTTGGAGTTTTAGAAGAAGTGGCCGGCTGTTTCTCAGCCGCCACATGTTTCCTGGCAGAACCAGGAGAGCTCGCAACAGTCGTCCTCCGGGCCTTGGGGTCCGGCTGTTGGGAAGATGAAGCTCTTGGAGCACCCGTCTAAAAAAAAAAAATCAGTATATGCATAAACACAACTCCAAAAAGAGGGTGAAAGGTTCGGAGCTCACCAAGGGTGCCCCCTTCTTGGGGGAGTCGGTTGAAGCTTGTTGCATGATGGAGGCCCACAACATGGTCGCCGCAGTCTTGGAGGCGGTGATTTTGCTCATGGCGTCAGCTGCAAAAACAAACAGCAAAGTTAATAAAAGTCATAACAAGAAATGTATGGAACAACAGAGTATTCGACAGGCCGACTACCTCTTGAGCACCGACTGCTGAGGCCACAGGCGGCCAAAAAGTACTCGTCGTAGAGCCATTTGAAGCTCGGGACGCAGTGCAGGGGTACTTGCTCTCGTACCCCTAAAGTAGAGTCGACCCTCGACTCTACTTTAAAGAGTCCTTTATCAAGGATCTCTTTCTTAGCCTTGGGGGGAACAAGCGGCATGCTACGGCCGCCTGCAAGAAGGCGCGGATTCCTGTTCCACCTATTGAAGCGCTTGTTCAGCTCAGTGTCTGAACTCTCAATGATGAGGAAGGTGCTCCGCCAGTCCTTCCACTTGTTTGCTTTACCTCTCGTCATGAGGTAGCCCCTGTGGCTTGTCAATTGATACCAGCCGGTACCGCCTGCCTTAGGGGTCCGGCTGAGATAGTTCATATGGGCGAAAGCCTCAAAGCTCGGCTCCACCCCGTGCAGTTCGCACCCGGCCACATAGCCGAGTACGTTGACCCAGGAGTTTGGGGCTAACTGCCATAACCCCAACTCATACCCATCCAAGATCCGCTGAATAGCCGGATGTAATGGGAAGCGCAGCCCTGCCTTGATGGCCGCCTCGTAGCAGCCAAAGCAGGCGCTATCATAACTGGTACCAGCCGGCCAGACGACTGTGTCTTCTGGATCCGGCACAAACACTAGAAAGTCGGGGCCCATGGTGTGGTTTGCAATAAAGCTCTCCACTTTCTCTTGCATGGATGTGATCCGGCTCCGAGGTACCGTGCAGTAATAGGGGGTATTTAGCTCTCGGTAAAAGGCGGATGGCTCCGCCCAATTGTCCCCCTTCTCAACTGCGTGAGAAAGTCTCGCCTCTTGCAGGCGGCTGTTTTTCTCTTCTGTGTCCAAAGAAGCATGGCCAGAAGAGCTTGACTCGGAATCGTCCTCTGACGAGTCCGAAGAGGACGACTCCTCCCCTCTCCCGGAGGGGCCCGCCTCCTCTCTTTGAAAAGGAGCAGAATTGTTAGCTGTTAAATGGGAAGGGGTCACTATGACTCCTCCCACAGAATTGCCGTCTTTCAGGCCGCCTTGTTTCACTTCCACATCTGGCGCCTGGTCAGATGTTTCACTAAGCGGCACCCTGTGGGAGGAGCCGTCTGAATTTGAGATCCTAGCAGTCTTTTTCGTTCTGGCCATCCTGCTCTGCATAGACTCAGATACAGTCGGACTTTGTATAAAGGGCAAAGATGGGTCCGGAAAAGGGCAGGCGGCACTCCTAGTCCTAGATTCAGCCGTCCCCGGTGACCGGCTGATCACTAACCTAGGTTGTGTCGTGTGCTTCCGTGGTGCCATTTCAAAAAATAAAAAGAAAATTAAGAGTAAGAGAACCGACAGTTACCTGAACGAGTGACGATTGATGAAGTGCTGAAAATCCTGTGCAGTCGGCTTGTCAGAACAGGCGGTAGGCAGAAAAGGTCCAAAATGTCAGAGCAAGTTCAGGGGTCCGAATGTTCTCTCTCAAAGTTCTCAAGTGTGAAAATGACTCAAGACAATCCTCCCTTATATAGGCGAAGTGAGAAGGCGAAGGGTCACTTTCAGAATTCAAAATTTGGGCGGGAAAATCTCTCGTCCTTTCGCTGACTGACACCTGTAGAAGGTCGTCGCCTATTACAATGCGACACCTGTCACAGGTAACACGTGACCAGTCACGTGCCACCTGTGAGGGGCAAATGATTAGGGGATTTTGCTCCCACCAATCGGAATGCGCCACGTGGGCCAATCAGGTCCTGCCAAGTGTCCCCCAGTTGGAACTGTCAGGGCTTGCCACGTGGCACGCGCTTATTCGTCCACCTTGGACCTATTATGTCATGACATGTGGTATACTCCATGCCTAATGGAGAAACCGGCCACCCAGGCCCAACTTCCGAGGGAAGCCCAATCAGCCCTAGGTTAACCTAAACCTAGGATGGGCACGTTTCCCAAGGTTATAAATACCTCCCTTAATCCTCATTAAGGGGGATTACGAAAAAACACATTAATTACACACAGTAATAACCGGCTGATCTCGCTAACAAAGCAGATTACCTACATTAAACACTCTCACCTAGAGAGACCCAATCACTTTAATTTCCGCATTAATTACTCCTTAATCAAGTACTAACTTGACCGTTGGAGGCGGAGCTCCCACCACCAGGAGTCTCCGTTATTTTGCAGGTACAGGTGTCCGGTTCCAGTCTCGGAATTGTAACTCTCCCGCAGGACATCAGAAAACCCCGAAACAACTATGCTAGCTCCGACTTGGATGCCCGTAGTGCTCAAATGAAGGGCATGTAAATCCGGTTGGAGGGCATGTACGATCAAGAATTTGAGGCCCTTTATACTCATATGAGAGGGATTTCGGAGATGCAACAAGGTATGTTTCTCCAACAACAACACTTATATGATGCGGGTGTTAACCGGGGAGAAAACAGTCCCCCGGTTAACTACCCTTACTTTCCACCCCAATATGGTTCTCTACCATCTTTTGGGGGTGATGGGGTACCTACGTACCCATATTGGCAAGGACCCCGGGGGTCCAACACCGAGACTCGCTCATTCCCCGATGAGCACGGTAACTACGGTTACCGTGTTCACGGTGGGAGCGATTATAGGGGTGATCCTAACTATCCCTATGTACACCCCGATCATCCACTACCACTCGCTTTGCCCCAGCAATTTACTCCCCTTACCCCTTAGAAACAAGATAACTTTCGGGGGCATTATGATTTGCCACCCGGTTACACCGGGGGATGGGATCCTCATGGTCCCCCATTCGGGTTTTCCTATGATGGGGATAACAATGATGGCTCCGGGCCGAGTGGTAGTGGTTGCTAGTTCCCCTCATTTTTGTGCTATGTGCCTCTATCCCTTATCTTATGTGTGTTTTATTTGTATTGTCAAGATGTTGAGATGTATCTTTATTTAGCTTGGGGGAACTTTTCCTTTTCTTAGGGGTCTTGTCTCGGTGGCCAATTGTTGTTGAAACTAACTTACTTATCTTGTTTCTTTGCATGATGGTCTCATTCTTTATCCTACTTTTATGATGTTTGCTCATTTTTTATTTTGTTGTTGTTGTGATGATGATGTGTGTTTGCTCCCTTGAATCTAAACCCCCCAAAATCCAAATCCCATGAATCCAAACCCCTTTGATTCCAAATTTTGTAGTTTAGCATTTTGTTGTTTAGTTAGATGTTTAGTTAGTTGTTTCGTTCTTATTTTCTTATTTCTGTTTTCTTGATAGTTTAGTTTTCTTATTTTTGCTTTTTATTTTCTTTCCTTTTCGTTTTCTTTTCTTTTCTATTGTTTTGAAGTTATTAACCGTTTTCTTTGTCTATAGTTTTCTTTTCCATTTTTGTTCTCACACGGCTTTGATGATGATGCTTTGATTTTTGGAGGTTCATGAGGTGGTTGATTCTTCACCCTACTTTTTTAGCATTTCTTGGAAGCTGGTGAGATATTTCTTATTTCCCTTTATTCTCTTTTATTTTCTTGGATGCATAGTTTAGGATTAGTTTTAGGGAAAGTTGAATGGTTCGAAGATGGATACTTTTAACACCTAGAGTGGTTGGGATCGTTGACGATGTTGTCATTTGATCACTTGTATGTCGACTGGGTATTACATGTTCTACTTGCATATTCGTTCCATTCTTTATTATCCTTCTTTTCCTTTAACTATGTTTTTCCTTTTCTCTTTTCTTTTCTTTTATTTTTCTTTCTTTTTGTTTTTGGAGTCTGGTATGTTTTTGAGGCTTTATTTGTCACCATTTTGTTTTTATTTTTGAATTGGACTATATACAACCGATTTTTGCTTTTGAATGAATATCTTCCTAAATGGTATGGGTATGCACGGTTTGAGAATATGCTTGGTTAACTCTAGGATAGGTGTAAGATAAGGTAGCATGTTCTAGAACTAGTAGGATCGTGAAACCATATTCTACTTGTTTGTGGCATGTTGGTAGTTGCTTCCAATGGTCGATTTGAAACCTATAATAAGTTTTTGCTACATCGATGTGAGGTTCTTCATTTTTCAAGCCTTCTACATATCTTGTATGAGTGGCATGGATCCTTGACTATTGCGAACCTAATCTTGAATCTTGACTCATAATTCTCAAACACGAGATCGAACCATCTAGGGAGGATAAAGGCATCTTTTCGGGGTGGTAATTTTTCTTTTTCTAGGTTTAATCTTTTAATTTTAGTTCCTTGGGTTTACATTTGCCCTCTTGCTAACCATTTAAGCCTTTTCCTTTCTTTTCAAGCCACATCTTTAGAATTTTGAGACTTTTGTTTCTTTTTGTTCTAATTTTGGTTTTTATGAAGCTTCCAATGGTCATGTTTTTGGAGTTTGTGGTTTATAAGGTTGGGTTTTGGTTCTATTTGTAAGCAAGCTTGTAATTTGTGTATATTTTGTGAATAATGGCAAATGTATGAATGAAAAAGCAATCCAAAGTTAGAATAGGCAAGGACATAATAAATACGAAGTTGTAAAAGTCGTCCAAAGTAGAAAAAAGGCAAGGACAATTGTTTTGACTTTTTGCAAAAAAAAAAAATTGAAAATGAGAAAATTCAAAAATATTTTTATGTGATTCTTTTCCCACTAGTATAAAACCCGCATATTTTTGACGCTTTGGATGTGGCGTCAACCACAATTTTATTTCCGCTTTTTCTCGACACTTTTAGGTGTCGAAGGTTTGTTTCGACACATAAAAGCGTCGAGAAAATCACGAGTCTAACACGTGACTCCCTCACATCCTACCGCCCGCGATTTTAAAATTTTGTGAAAAAAAAGCGGGTTGTATCACTCCCAATTATTTACTAAAAAAAAAGGAAATACTCCCAAACCAATTTAAACCACCCACTATTGAAATACGACTGATAAATTTGCTCGAACACTACTGCACTCTGCATCTCTACTCATAATCAAAGCTACAACATTCATCGTTTTTTTTGTGTTAAATTCTGGGTTTCTTGCTAATTCTTCAACGAATTTAGGGGATTTTTCTTTTCACTTTCAGAAATTTCAGGTAATTATTCACAATTTGCTTCACAATTTTTGGTACACTAATTGTTCAGAATTAGTTAAATTTTGTTAAATTTGGGAATTATTCTTTGCATGCGTTCGATTTACATTTGGAGTAGAACAAGAATCGATCTTATTGCAAGGTAATTTTTTGCTCTTAATTAGATAATTTAAACTCTTTTTCTGTTTTTTTTTCGTGAATTTTTTTTTTCAAATTTCAGATTTCCTTCTTGTTGTTGTATTTTTATAAAAAAAAGTTTTTTATGGGTTTTTGTGATGAATTTGACGGCGTTTTCTAGGGTTTTAGTTTAGGATTTTTCGACTATGAATATTATAGGCTTTGAATTTTTTGGTATTTGATATGAATTTTATAGGCTTTGAATTTTATGGGTTTTTGATATGAATTTTATGGGTTTTTGGTATAAATTTTCTGGTTTTCCTATGGTGATTTGGTGGCTGATGATTACATTATGTCTTCACATGCTCTGCTCTTAGAAGCAATACTCATTCCCTTATAAATTATTAGACAACAACCCCAATACTCACGGCCTGCTGCTGATGAATCAAGTCTTATTGTTTAGCCTAGAACTATTGTTATATATGAAGACTGATGTATGCTCTTATAAATCATTAGACAACAACCTTGCTATATATGAAGACTGTATGCTCTTGTTTGATAACTCATAAATTGATCTACAATTGAACCATTATAGATTTTGGCTCTGAGCTAATTATTCTTATGAATTTGCAGTCCCAAAATCCCAAATACAATCTTTTAGAAGATATTAGTTCAAATTCAAGCTATCAAACTTTAATTCGACAATTTGAAAAAGTTGAGCCTAGAACTCCATTCTAATTTAGAAAATATCTAATCTGAACTAATAACTAAATTTGAAGGATTTATATACCACCCAAATAATGTATATTTGAAGTTATAGCTTTTTTAGACGAAGCATGGTTTGATCGATGAAGGATAAAATGTCATATTTGCATCTTTCTTAGGTTATGTAGAGACTTGTTTATAATGCATTGTTATCAGATGGATGCTGCCTGTTTTTTGCTTAATTTGGTCACTGTGGTGATCATTGCTCAAATTGCTGACTGATGCAGGGATCTTTCATTCAACAAACTATCTGGCAGCTTGCCTCAGAGTTTTGAATCTCTTTCAAGCCTTTCTACGCTGAAAGAAATAGTTGCATATACCTTTGTGCCTGATTTTCATTGCATCAAACATCGATATATTCATAATCCTGTCTGATTTTGTTATGATTGAGTAACTGCCAAATGTATTAAGTAATTTCAGAATTGTTGCATTTTGTCTTCCTATGTGCTCTCACTCATTCCCTTACACAATACTCACGACCTGTAGCTGTATTAGTGCCTTGCCCAATACGTGAGGACCACAGGTGGCTGGTTCATTATAGAATATATTGTTTGAACTAAAATAAATCAATTGTGTAATTGAATATCATCATATAAACTTAAAATCTATGTATATTAATGGTTTAATGTTGTATATTCTATTAAAGCTGGTGGTTATGAATATAATGGTGATAAACAAGGGAGTTTCGTGTCATAAAAGCTCATATTTTAGTGAATTAGAGAACCTGAAATTGAAATCTTTAATGTATCACAATCCTAATGAAGGAAGTCATGTGCCAGCATGACCCAGCAAGAGACGGACATGGAAATAGGATCATTCTAGGATAGAAACTCACTCTGGACTCTATTTGTTTAACTTTTTATTTGTTGTTGCATGTTTCTTTCTAATTTTCTTCTTTCACCCCTCAGCAAGTATGTAGGCTTGAATTACTTACATTATTTTTAAGTGGATAAACTTCTTGATATTATAAGTTTGATGGATGTCTATTTACTTGAAAGTGATGTCCCTATTATATATTGGTTTAAGGATCCTTGTGACGGGATTTTTTTTAAATGTCATTGTTTTTAATTAGCAATTAATTATATACTTCTTTGTAGACATGGATACTAGTTGGATTGATTTTCCAAGAGGTGATCCTGGTTATTTTAATGGTTGCATTGAAACTTTCTAAAGAGACTCTTTTACCAAATACATGGGAAACTAAATGCCCATGTAATAAGTGTAAGTTAAATAAAACGAATTCTGTAGAAAAAGTTGGAGGCCATATTTTATTTTATGGTTATTATAAAAACTATAGAAATTGGATATTTCATTGTAAAGATGAAGGGAGTAAGACCTATGATCTAAGTGATGATCAAGTAAATTCAGTAAGTCGAGATGATATGGACGGGTTACTAAGAGCAACTTATAGAGTTAATACACGACAAACCGACAAAACTCAATATCCATCATTTAATGAACAAAGTATTGAAGATGACAATTCATATGACATGGATGAGGGGTTTACCATTTATCGCGAGGTAGATGATGAGTATCAATCAACTATCTCAAATGAAGAATAGGCAAAGTATAAAAATCTCATGGAAGCTTCTGAAAAAGGCCTGTACGAGGGGTGTACTACTTTTTCGAAACTTTCATTTTTGTTGCATTTGTTTCACCTAAAGTATATGTTCTATTGGTCTGCATAGTCATTTAATAAATTACTTGAACTTCTAATTGATGCATTTCCCATTATTAAGGAGTTTCCATCGTCCTATTATGAAGGCATGAAGATAATAAATGATTTAGGGTTAGGATATGAGAAAATCCATGCATGTCCAAATGATTGCATGTTATATTGGGGCGAATTCGCAAATAAAAGTGAGTGTCATATATGCCATACATCAAGTTGGAAAAATGTGAAAGGAAAGGAGGGTGATGTAAATGAAAAAGGAAAAGAAGCATGTAAGAAAGGCGAGGCAGCTAAAGTAATGCGGTACTTTCCCCTTATCCATAGATTAAAGAGGCTTTACATGTCATCTAAAACAGCAGAGGACATGAGATGGCACTTTAATCATAAGGATGATAAGATTCTACGACACCCTGCTGATTGCTAGGCTTGGAAAAAATTTGATGAAAAATATATACAGAGTTTGCCGCTGATACTCGCAGTGTTAGATTAGGCCTAGCGAGTTATGGTTTTAATCCATATCGTCTTATGAACACAAGTTATAATACATAGCCGGTGGTCCTCATTCCTTATAATTTACCACCATGGCTTTACATGAAACAATCATCCTTTATTCTTTCTATTATTATTCTTAGTAAATTTGGTCCCGGTATGGATATTGATGTGTACTTGCAACCACTAATGCATGAATTGAAATTATTGTGGGAAGGTGTTGATGCTTTTGATTCTTATAGTGGAAGCAACTTCAAACTGCGAGCAGCCCTACACTCTACTATTAATGACTTTCCAGTTTATGCTATGCTGTCAGGTTGGAGTACAAAAGGCTACAAAGCTTGTCCTTCTTGCACTCATTCTACTTATTCAGAGAGATTTGGTGGCAAAATTATCTACCTTGGGTATCAAAAATGGTTGTTTATTCACAAGCTAATTTGTTTGATGGGAAAGAAGAATATGGTATTGATCCGATTTGTACCAGCGGGAAGTTTTGAAGCAACAAGAAAGAAGGGGTAAAGTATGTATATGAGAAGACAAAAAAAGTTCCTAAAAAAAGAGGGAAAAAAGCTACCAATGAACTTGATGATGATTGCGATCCCGATGGTGATGATGTTCTTTGGAAAAAGAAAAGTACATTTTTTGAATTAAAGTATTGGGAGCATAATCCTCTTAGACATAATTTAGATGTAATGCACATTAAAAAGAATGTGTCCGATATTTTATTAGGAACTCTTTCAAATATGGATAATAGTAGGGATGATGAGAGTGGAAGAGAAGCCCTAAAGAATTTGAATATAAAACCTCATCTATGGATCAACCCTCAAGGTTACATCCCGCCGGCTGCATACACCAAGTTTAACGAGGAGAAAGAACTATTTTTGAAATTCTTGAAAAAGATGAAAGTTCCTGATGAATATAGATCTAATTTGCAAAGATGTGTGAATCAAAAGCAAAGGAAACTTATTAATATGAAAAGTCATGACCATCATATTCTCATACAAGATATCCTCCTGGTTGCTTTAAGGGCGTCGAGTGCCACAAGAGTTATTGACTTGCTTGAGGAAATGTCTGACTTTTTAAAAAAGATATGTTCAACTGCTATAGATACAAGAGAATTATATACCATTCAATCAAAGCTCGTGTTGACTCTTTGCAAGTTTGAAAAAGAATTTTTACCAACATTTTTTACAATCATGGTTCATCTACTAATTCATTTAGTGGAAGAGGTCAGACTAGGCGGACCTGTTCATTATAGATGGATGTATCCTTTTGAAAGGTACTTATTATTATAATTACTATTATTATTATTATTATTATTAAATATTATTCTTTTTATTTGTATTATTTAATTTTTATATTATAATGTTTTCTATTCTTTCACATTCACATACAAAATCGTTACTATAATTCAAGGTACTTGGCCTTTTTGAAATCTCATGTAAGCAATAAAGCGCAACCAGAAGGATCTATAGCGAAAGGTTACCTTTTGTGGGAGACAATTGCATTTTGTTCGAGATATTTTGAAAGTGTTGAGACTACGTTTAATAGACCTAGAAGGAATAAGGATGGTGTATCAAACATTGACAACTATTTGTATAACTCTGGTGGTCGTGTTGTTGGAAAGAAAGAAAATGTCCGTTTGGATTATAGAAGTTTAAAGCAACATCATCACTATGTTTTACTTCATTCTGATGAACCAACCCCGATACTCAAGTAAGTAGCATTATGTGTTTAGTTAAAGCGTCCAATATATACTTGTTACTAACATAAAATTTACAACCTCGATAGTGAGTTCCTAAAACTAAAGAGGCTAGTGAATGACGTTGGAGGAAGTGAAGCTGATGAATCTATTGAAAATCAGTGGATAATTGATGAATTTGCAGATTGGTTGCAAAGCCAGGTCATATGCTTTTACATTTAGGGTCTTTTTATTTTCATATTATACAACTTTCTAATTCTAACTTTATTATTCTCGAATTATAGGTCCATAATTTAGATGATAGCACGGTAGATGAAAAGTTAAGAAAAGCCTTAGTCGGTGGCTTGAGTAACCATGGGAAAAGGATGAAAAGTGTTATTATCAATGGTAACAAATTTGATATTGTGGATCGTGAGCGATTTCGAGTAACTCAGAATTCAAGAATCATGGTGGAAGTAGAGGGTCACGAATATTATGGAAAACTCAAAGAAATTTTGGAATTAGATTATTATGGTTCTTGTTTCGGGGTTTTCTGATGTCCTGCGGGAGAGTTACAATTCCGAGACTGGAACCGGACGCCTATACCTGCAAAATAACGGAGACTCCTGGGAGCTCCGCCTCCAACGGTCAAGTTAGTACTTGATTAAGGAGTAATAAGTGCGGAAATTAAAGGGGGAAGATCTGGTTCCTCTAGGGGAGGAGTGATCAATGTGTTTAGACTTCTCTAGGTGAGAGTCATTAATTGCTTCATCCCCTTTAATGAGGATTAATTAAGTATTTATAGTCTTGAGAAGCGTGCCACTCTCTAGGTTTAGGGTAAACCTAGGGCTGACCGGGCCTCTAAACAGGATTGGGCCTTGTTGGCCGGTTTTCCCATTTGGCATGGGTGGACACGTGGCGTGTCTCAATTGGTCCGTAGAGGACGTATCTGTGATTGACACGTGGCAGGCTCCTATTGGCCTACGTGAAGGACACGTGGCGGAACCTGGTTGGTCCACTTGTCAGACGGTGATTGGTGGATAAAAATCCCCTAATCATTTGCCCCTCACAGGTGGCACGTGACTGGTCACGTGTCACTTGTGACAGGTGCCGCACGGTGACAGGCGACGGCCTGCTACAGGTGTCACCTTGCAAATGGCCGAGAGATTTTCCCGCCCAAATTTTGAATTTGGAAGCGACCCTTCGCCTTCTCACTTTGCCTATATAAGGAAGTGCTGACTTCGGTCATTTTCACATTTGAGAACTTTGCGAGAACATTCGGACCCCTGAACTTGCTCTGACATTTCGGACCTTTTCTGCCTACCGCCTGTTCTGACAAGCCGACTGCACAGGATTTTCAGAACTTCATCAACCGTCACTCGTTCAGGTAACTGTCAGTTCTCTTACTCTTAATTTTTCTTTTTATTTTTTGAAATGGCACCACGGAAGCACACGACACGACCTAAGTTAGTGATCAGCCGGTCACCGGGGACGGCTGAATCTAGGACTAGGAGTGCCGCCTGCCCTTTTCTGGACCCATCTTTGCCCTTTATACAAAGTCCGACTGTATCTGTGTCTATGCAGAACGTGATGGCCAGAACAAAAAAGACTGCTATGATCTCAAACTCGGACGGCTCCTCCCAAAGGGTGCTCATTAGTGAAACATCTGACCAGGCGCCAGATGTAGAAGTGAAACGAGGCGGCTGCCAAGCCGACAATTCTGAGGGAGGGGTCAAGGTGGTCCCTTCCCATTTCACCGTTGATATGTCTAATTTTCCTCCTGCTCCTTCTAAGGGAGAGGAGGCGGGCCCCTCTGGGAGAGGGGAGGAGTCGTCCTCTTCGGACTCGTCAGAGGACGAGTCCGAGTCCAGCTCTTCTGGCCACGCTTCTCCAGGCTCAGAAGAAAGAAACAGCCGCCTACAAGAGGCGAGGCTTTCTCATGCAGTTGAGAAGGGGGGCAATTGGGCGGAGCCGTCCGCCTCTTACAGAGAGGAAAACACCCCCTACTACTGCACGGTACCCCGGGGCCGGATCGCAGCCATGCAAGACAAAGTGGAGAGCTTTATAGCTAACCACAGAATGGGCCCCGGATTTTTACTGTTCGTGCCGGATCCAGAAGACACTGTCGTCTGGCCGGCTAGTACCAGCTATGATGACGACTGCTTTGGCTGCTATGTGGCGGCCATCAAAGCTGGACTGCGCTTCCCATTACATCCGGCTGTTCAGCGGATTTTAGATGGGTATGATTTGGGGTTATGGCAGTTAGCCCCCAACTCTTGGGTAAACGTACTCGGCTATGTGGCCGGGTGCGAAATGTACGGGGTGGAGCCAAGCTTTGAGGCTTTCGCCCACATGAACTATCTCAGCCGGACCCCTAAGTCGGGAGGTACCGGCTGGTATCAATTAACAAGCCATAGGGGCTACCTCATGACGAGAGGTAAGGCGAACAAATGGAAGGATTGGCGGAACACCTTCCTTATCATCGAGGGTTCAGACACGGAGCTGAACAAACGCTTTAACAAGTGGAATAGGGATCCGCCTCTTCTCGCAGGCGGCCGAAGCATGCCGCCTGTTCCCCCAAAGGCTAAAAAAGAGATCCTAGACAAAGGACTCTTCAAAGTAGAGACTAGGGTGAACTCTACTTTAGGGGTACGAGAGCAAGTACCCCTAAACTGCGTCCCGA